TCCGCTTACCAGCGAAATGAAATACAATTCAAAAAACAAAAGCCGTGCGTAATAAAACGCAGACATTTGGCAGACTTTTACATCACATAAGGGCTAGCTTAAATTATCAATGTACCCAAAAACGCTACGCGGTTACGCCTACATTGAGTGACCTGATACAAAATGAAAAATCCGCTGTACATCTAAAATCACTCCGAACACATTTGCTAAAACCCTAACCTAATAATGTAAGACCATCAGTTAAATGGAAACGCAAGATAAGTATAACATGTTCGATTTCGTCGCTCAGAAAATTAGTTTGCTTTCGGAGACTGAATATGCCAAAGACGTACAAATCCGTGTCACATGAACCCGTTCCTATTCAGGAAGTATTGAATATTTGTATATGAAGTCGAGTAATAAAATGCAACGCTAAAATCACGGCGGTATTTGGGACACTAATTTTGTGCATTATGATTACCCAACATCTTCAAAGAAGTTTTGTTTTATGAAGTCTGCATAGCTTTAATTGCATAATATTCGATTAGGTATTTTTAAGTCTTCTTGCTCAATAGAAGTGAAGGAGACAATCGGTAATGCATCGTCTATAAATATTAGTAATTTTTTCTTTCGTCAAAAATAATTGCGGTTTTCTCTGACAATGGCATCTGTTGAGTTCCGAAACGCCCTTCATATGTCAAGAATATTGCATGATGTGCAGAGTTTTCACTCGATTGTCCATGAAAATAATGACTTTAAGCCATTTATCAAAACTTCAAAAGGAGAAGCTTCTTAGGACCGTTTGCCAAAGAAGCGCTTGCGTGGGTATTTTTTTATGCAGAAGGCCGTTTGGGTCACATCTGAAGACTCGGTCATACATGAGTTTTCATCGCCGGAAAAAAAGCGTCAACAATGAAATGGCTTGCAATTAGTTAAAATCACTTTCTGATGGTCCGCCTACTTAGAAATACTGTATTTTGATGGCGGATGATTCAATGCTTTACCTTTTATACAGATAAATCATACACAATTAAAACTTCTTACAATCCTTTTACTTTTGCAAAAATAGTAATATAATTTCCAACACTTTCTGGAAAGTGCACTTTACCCATTATATTGCAGCCACTTTTGCTCATTTTGCTTATTATTTAGCCTCTTCTACGATCACGAGTGTGTAGAAAAGTTGCCAAATAAATAATGACAAAGTGCAAAATTTGTCAAAGTCTTGGCCCTTGTGTTTCTAACTCACTCGTCAACAAAAGCCACACTGCCGAAAATGTATCTTTCTGTATGCTCATGACTTTAAGTGTGGTCATATTGACAGCCAGGTATGTTGGATGCGCAAAAAACAAGAAAATTCCTAGGGGTTTGAACAAAGGATTGCCCGTGGGCGCTATTAATGCACTGTAAGGCACGAATTCACGCAACATTGCGAGGTTTTGCTTCATGACGAGTAAAACATTCGGTTTTCTGGGACAAACCGTTTGTTTCAGAACTTTAAAAAAGTATTTATAAGTGCGGTAATAGTGGCAGAAAACGCAAACCCAATAGTCCAAACATGGAGAACAAAAACAATTGCACCTTGACGGATACAAGCACGCCATCTCACATACTCAAGTGGTGGTACCCGTTTTCTCATGTATATGAGTAATGGAAGTCGACAAAATTTTAATGCGGCCAAATTATAATTTGTACATTGACATTTGTTTGCAGAATGCAAATTGTATTTGGGCGTTGACCAACGCAGACACCAAGGAGACTAAATTACTAAGGCATTTGATCGATAGGACAAAGATGTGTATTCGGATCGCACCTGACCCCACAGAAAAGAGTCAGTATAATTGCTTTACATTAGCTTATATCAACTTCTATTAAATATTCGTCACCCACACCAGCGGCTCAAAGAGAAGTCAGGGTTTTGTTTGTGGACATCGCACGCGTAAGTGCTGAAATTCTTCATTTGGCGGACAGACAACTGAAACGTTGTAATCAAAGGGAGTAACTATGCCTTAGTCATGATGCACTGTCATAAACGCAGCTAGTGGGAGTTCAATATTAAAAGGAATATCTGAGTGGTACATATGGTGGGAAGCGATGGAATTCTCCGGGAACAATATGACATTCAATGCGTAAGTTTTGAGGGTAAATTTATAAGTTGCCAACAGACACTAGGTGGTGCATGGAAAAACAGTGCGCAATCAACTAAAATGTGGTTGGATGCGGCTGTCAAGATAATTGCAGTTTGGAATACTCAAAAAGCAGTCTTTGAGCCCTTTTTAGAACAAGGTTGTGACTAATGTGGAAAAATCTCGGATGAATTGGGATTTGCATATCGTAAGATACCGGTATACACTGTAACTGAACATAGTTACACTGAAAAACGTCCTTTTGAAATTTAATAAGTCCTTTACGCTGAACTTATTAAGTGCAGATATTTAAGAGATAGAAGTGAGTAAATTCATTGTGTGCCGTCCTTCGCCCATCCAACGCAACGTTAAAAGATAGTCAGTAAAGTCATTTCGCTCAAATTTTCTAGTCAATTATGAAGGTCTCCTTGAGGTTCTTTAAGAAACACCCATGTAGAAGCAAGTTATCAAAGGACCTTGCACCTGAAACGGAAAGAGCTTAGCCACAACCGTGGACGTATAATGCACTAATGAGTCGCCACTCGATTCGTAGCAACGTATATGCCATTAATTTAAGGAAATTCTACAACGCGACCGGCCGATGCTAAAGACGCAGTAGTTGACGAAACCCAGAATAGAATGCCTAGATACTCCTCTGCGCTATATTTTTATGCATCCCATTCGGTGCAAAAACATACAAGTATGATATTATTTGTTTTATCTGGCACCCGTGCGTCAAATAGCGAGACATGAACTCGACTAAAAAGACAAGAATATCAGACCACATAATTTCGAGCCCGGTTCTCCCGAACGTTGTTACCTTTAAGGAAGCAGAATCGGTGTCAAGAGTCAGTGAAGAGGGCACGATAGACCAAGTAGTTTCATCCACACTAAATGTTGTTTTAATGCATACCCTTAACGACAGTCTTCGTAAATGCAAGGCTGGTGCTGAGCTGGTAGCAGGCAATGGAGAGTAGATAGCCAGAGTGAACGTCATGGACGTGACTAACAGCGGGCACCTCGAAATGTCCTTCTTCGTTACGGCAAAAGGCAAAATGCACGCATTGGATTCAATAGAATGACTAGTTGGATATCGGTTATGACAAAGCACAAATGAAACGCTCTGGCGGAGAGCTGACTGAGTGCTGTGATGCTGCGGCGGACATCGTATTCTTCAGTACTTTTTCTGCTAACTTCAGGCGCGGAAGAGTCAGGACGTAGGTAGGAGGCAAAGGGAGTGTTTGCAGCAATAGGCATCCAACCAAATGCGGTTGCGTCTCGATGATCTGTCCGCTGGTCGGAGAGAAGATGCATCAAAATGCGTATTAAGTATTCTCTGCCTGAACGAACTGACATCCTATAGGAGTACGGGGTTGGAGGTGGATATAATCATTGTCCAGTAGATAGGTTATAAGCGCAGCCTGCTACAAATTCTAGCAACTGTCGTTACGCAGTTCTCGCCTTGCATCATCTTGTATTCCAGAATTGTCGGTGTCGGTAAAATGGTCATAGAGATTGTTAGAATATCAGATGTACATAATGACCCCTAAGTGGCTGACATATAATCTCGAACCAAGCGGAGTACTACAGGATGCCTGGCAGCCTTATTCTGAGAAAGTAGGCGTATTCCGGTTGAAGAAGGAGACAAGATCGCCGGGACAAGAGCTTTATTAGCCTGACGTTTCGGATTCCTACTCGAATCCATCATCAAAGACAAAAAAGCAGAAACGGGTGGTTGCTGCACAAGGGGCTGCGGTATTTATAGGATGCAGTAGCCATGCTACCGCATACCTATGAACATTCACGGCTCCCCCCTTCATCCGGGATCGTCGCACTTGGTGTGATCATTGCTTGATGGCCGACATTCAATTCGATAATTGCTGCAATTTCATCACGTGCGTTGGATGTTGGCGTGATGATTGCTCGACCATCTGACGCATCGACCCCGGTGTTGGGAAAAGTGTTCACCTCTGCCCTCCCCGCGTGGCTTGTTACTCCGCCTAGGCGAAGTTTTAGCACGGAGTATGGAGTGGGAAGATCGTTGCACTTGTTGATGGACTGGGGGCCAGTAAACCATGATTCTAATAGCTCCCGGCTCACTCGGTTGTTACCTTATGCGAGAATTTCGGCCTCATCGAATTTGAATGTGTGGCCGGATCTCGTCGAATGAGCCGCAATTTGAGAGCTTGCGTCATTTCTGCGCACCGCTGCCGCGTGTTCGGCCATTCTCGTTCGGAGCTGTCTTCCGGTTTCTCCGACGTAGTTGCTTTGTCCGCAACTGCACCAGATCCTATAAACGACTCCAGACGTTTCTAGTCGTGGCAGTGGGTCTTTTTGTTTCATGAGCAGACGCCTGATGGTTGCCTCCGGTCTGTGTGCCACTCCAACCCCAAGTGGTTCGAGAAGGCGGCCGACAGCTTCCGAAACGTTCTTGACATACGGAAGTGCCCGCCAAGACTTGGTGTCCGTGCGGTTAGGCCTTTCGTACTTTTTGCGTATGCACCGTTCGACGAAGTTGCGCGGGTAGCCAATGGCTTTGAAGACCCGTCGGAGGTATTGTAGTTCAGCAATTTTGTCTTCCGGCTCACTGCAGTGCGTTTCGACACGCCGATAGAGCGTCCTTACACAACTGCGTTTGTGACTGATTGGGTGGTTGCTGTTGAAGTTCAGTACTTGTATCGTATTTGTCGCTTTCCTGAACACATTGGTCTTTGGTCCACCACAATCCTTGCGGCATACGAGGACATCCAGGAAGGCCAGCTGGTTGTTCTCTTCCTCCTCCAACGTAAATTGAATGTCCGGGAAGACGACGTCGAGATGTTCTTGGAATGTCAACACCTGATCCCGTTCGATGACGACGAAGGTGTCATCCATATACCGGGCCCAGAATTTTGGTCTGTGGTGTTGGAAGACCAGCGATTCTAACCGTTGGAGGACCGCCTCGGCGATGAATCCCGAAATCGGCGACCCCATTGGTGTGTCCTTCACCTGTTTATAGATTGTCCGGTCGAACGTGAAGTAGGTCCTGAGACAGAGCTGAAGGAGCCGAAGGATTTGGCCCTCATTTCTCTCCCGTCATCTCTTTTCTGCCACTGATTCGTGTGGAGTAAATGTGATATGTTGCAGTCGGTCAATAACGTCAATATGACAAAATATCTGGGAGCAGTTCCCTAAGAAACTAAACTGTCAGTTCTCGAAATGTTTTCCCTTTCCTACAGGCAACTACGCGGTGACCTTATCGTAACATTCCGCATTATAAACGGCCTACACTACTTAAATCCCTGTGATTACATCTTTCAAGCTAACACGCCCATTTGGCTCGGTCATCTGCTAAAACTACCGGCAGGTAAAGCAATGATCAATGGACGAAAGTTCTTTTCCTGTAACGCAGTGGTTGCAGCGTGGAATGTCCTACCTGCTGACGTTTTACTCTCCTCCTATGTGAACTCATTAAAACGTAGACTCGATGCATATCATGCTTTCCACTTACCAGCCACACGCGCACTCACATAACTTGCAACCTAAATTGATTGTGTCTATGTTACTTATAATGAGTGAGTAACCGTTGATGATTAAGATTTGTCGACTAGAGGGCAGCCTTTCGAATCCAGTTATGTACAACATTTCTTTTTCAACTGTCCATTTATCAGTGCTCTCTTCAAACGATTCCTAATTACTAGGGAGTTCGAAGGCGCTTGCCTATGTTTCCCTCAATAAAGGTAGAACTGAACCGCCCTGTTAGTGTTCACATGCAGATGCCGACGTTCGATGTTAGCCTCGTTATCCCTACCCCTACCCCTGTTTTCCTTGCCTGGCAAAAATCGCAGCTTGTGACTTCATGTTGAAATTTGCGTTAATGCGCCTTGTTATATACTTTGAAAGAATTATTTCAGAAGATTAATATGCGAGGGAAATTGTAAAAATGCTCATTTTTAGAATCAAACAATGTATTTAGAGTATGCGTGTTTTATCAGTCTTGAATGAAAAATAAACTGATTTCTTTTCTAACTAATAACTACAACAAATCAACATCTATTTCTTTCTGTTCAAGACCACTCTATCTAATAAGTTCCAAGCTAATTAGCCTGCAAGTTTTCTTTTTGCAAACTTAGACTGAATTCCAGGGTTTTTCTTGAGCGGTATATAATTTTATATTTGATGGTATAGGCGAAAAAAGACCATAAATTGTTATTGATGAAGAACGAAAAGTGAGAAGTTTCATTTGTAGCTAGTTTTGAACCATAAGTCTTTGATACTATATCTCTCAGGATGGCGCTGAAGTTTTATTCCCGAACTAGCCGGTTACCACACACTCTCTCCGTTCAAAGCTTAACCGTTTGAACCATAGTTTGCATGAGATTTTCTGAGGTACAGGCATGCTAATAAGCACAGACTATGTGAGTACTTTGATGACATCGATTTAATTGTCCATCGTGTAACCTCCTCCCAGAGATACAGTTTCGAGAAGCGTTCGTTATCTTCTGACATAGAATTATGTATTTTCAACGTATCGAGCCTTGTATTTTAGTGGATTTATAATGAAATCAGATACATCCTCATGACAGTGAATTTTTTCGCAGTTTTTCTTCCCAAGTCTCCTTTTACACGCAAATGTCAAAGTTAGCTAACGTCCCTTCATTCCCCAGAACATACATTGCCGCACTTTGGTCATTGTTCCATTACTTTTTGGTTTGTCAGAATGTTTAATTACTGTGCCATTCAAATATTAACTTTCTAAACACATGCCGCATCCATCTATCTGCTGAATGTTTTGGATGGAAGAAGGACAGTCTCTGAAAACCATTTGCACAACTAATTGATGTTAAAACATGATACTGCATACATATGTTGTGGCTTACACTGAAAAACGCTAATAAGAAAATAAGTGCCATTACGTATCCTGTGATCTCGATTTGTTGTTCGACCGTGAATGTCTTAAAATGATTACTCTGGGACAAAGCCACTTAGACTATAGACAGTGTACATGGTGCACAAAATGATGTTTTTTATCAGCATCCGCCATTTTTTAAAATATTTGTTTGTCATCTTGGCACTTTAAAAGTAGGATTACTTCATATTATTCGTTCTGTGAGCGGCACGTACTGGTTTCTCTGTTATCGCAATTAATATTTCCCCTATGACTGCAAAGTCATCCTAAAAACATCTGCGTATTCCTTACAAATAACCCACCTGCTGTCGGCTTTTTATGTCGAGAGCAATAATGATACGTACGATACTGTGCTGTAGGTCTTTTTGATATAGGCGCTCAGAGTGCTTTTGAAAACGACTTTAATTAGCGTCGTCCGTCAGGTCCAATGTCATCTGTAGTAGACCGGCCTTAACTGGCACTAATTGCTGTACACCGACTGTCTTGGTCAAAATGCGAAATGCCTATGTCTTGATACCTCAACCGTTGAGTCACTGCAGCTAACAGTTAACGGCCAAACAGCATGACTTGGGGTGGTGCCAGTTTACGTATCAGCAACACCTACTCGACGCTTAAATTTAGGTCGTAGACGTTCATTCTTAATATTACCGCTTGACATTTTGATGTATGTAAATGTTTTGATCCTAGTAATAAGGACTTAAACAAGTCTTGGTCACGTAAGCGACTGTCTCCACTGCCGAGCAATCGTTAACTTTCATATCCAGTGTTTAGCGTACGACATAAATGTTATATTAATCAGTTCAAAAATCAATAGCCTTGCACTTAAAATTATTATGCTGGTGCTGAGGAAAAGATGAGGTTTTTATCGTCTAGGACCATTTTAATGACTTACGCATATCCAAAAATTATACCTCTAGCAGTCAAATGATGTTTTTATTTGTCGAAATAATATACTGTGCTTACAACCATTTTCGTCATAACTTTTTTGAAATCGAATATATTATTTAATGCTCCCTATTTTGACAAGTATGAATTACAGGTTTCTTTTCTCAGTAACCTGTACAAATTATATTAATAAGTGCAATGGTTTACTTAACAAGACTAGAAGTTGTCATTGTTTTCAGACTCCTATTACCACGGATATAAAAATTTTATTATCCAAACCCTTCATTTTGAATTACTAGTTATGTGCCTTTCGTCTTTAATTTAAGAAAACCGTTTGGCAAAATTGTGTACTGACAGTTCTGATTAGGATCATTAGCTGTCTATAGTCACTTATTCTAGACTGTGATATTCACCACTTACCGTTTTCGATCGAATGAAAAAAAACCGAGGATGCTTGGACTGAATCAAACTATGCATCCAATTACATCTTTTCTCATTTTGCCCTTATTCTGAATGGTGATACTGCATTATATTATCCTCCTTTTATCACTCCCACACAATTATGTATATCACTTCGGAACATTGGGTATATCAGACTGATTCACTCTAAACAGAAGGGCCCGAAACATGTGATCACGTCTACCTGATTCTACAGAGTCAGTAATTTATTCTGATACCCGTAAATGGAGAGGTCGAAGAGGTTTTATGAATGTAAATCTCCTTCATTTAAAAGACGTTGAATACGAAAACAACCATCAGACCATTATTTTTGGTGTTCGTATTAAAGCTCAACATTACAAAAGCTGGAGAACAATTGTTTGTACATCAGTATTTACAATAAAAATACGTTGTAAAAGAAAAATTAGTGAAAGGTGACAGGCAACGTTCAAAGAAAAGTGATTCTGTTATCGGCATTTTCACATATCTAAAAGATGTCCTTTCGCGTTAGCAAGAACTGAGCGAAGAGAGTCATGTAGGATCAATATAGCAGAATTATGCGATTCAATATATCAGTCTGCGTTCACAAAATTAAGCTATGCAGAGAACTGTGTTTTGGCTGGAAATTAAAATGCCAAAACAAACTAATATTTTAACATCAATCTCCATTTAGTGTTTTTGCGAAGTCCTACGTCAGTTTACTAGAAAAATGCCTCGTCATTTTGGCAGGTTAGGGCTAAACCCAACAGGTCCTTATTATTTAACATAATACTGGGACTTCTTATTTGAAAACGAAGGGGGGCTCTGTGTAATTGAATCCAAATTTAAGTTGCAAAACGTGAAAGTCGAGAAGACTTACTATGTCTACAGAGTCCAAATAAATTACTTCCGGGCGTCTCAGTGAATGTGAAAGTGGCAACCAACATCTTACTGCAAAAAATGCATGTTTCCTAAAATAGTTAATAACACATTGAGCAGGAATCAAAGTACAGTAGAAAGGCTTTTTACTGATGCACAATAATCAACGTGAATATTCCCTGTCGATATCATAGTGTATCAGAACAGATGACTAAAATATTTCTAAGGGCTAAATATCCAATGCACAAGATAATACAACAGATCTCATTTTAAAGAATAAACACTGCAGAGAGCTGCATAAATCTCCCTCGGCGCGACGTGATATAGAAGCTTTCGGTTTGAGGTAACGCCAATGCTTGATTCAAGTTGGATCACCTCGCTTGATGCGCTTTTCATCATGCACGTTTCAAAGAATGTCTGAGAATTTTGAAAATTAGAAAAGCACGGGGTTTCTTTGAAAATTCATAACATTTGTCTGAATTTAACAGTTTATCCTTAAAAGGTTATGGTCTTTTTTGTCGGAAAGATCAAGGCTTCACTGTTTGCATACTCCTTAAATTTTCAATAAAGACGCACTTGGGGTATTTTAGCGAAGACAATTGACGCCAAGTAGTTATACAATTGCCGAATAAATCCAAAGGGATTAACGGACATGCATGTCAGCGGATGCATACTGATCCTGCCGGTACCGTGGAGCAAAGGAATCACAATTGACATGTCATATCGTAAGGCATCAAGAAATGTTCTGGACGCTAGGCAAGTAATGCATACGTACAAAAAGTAGCAGTTAATGTTTTGACAAATAATTCGAGTTACTTTCACCAGACAGCACTGTGTACGGCTAAATTTTAAAAAAGAACAATTAGACACTCACAATGCTTAAATTTTCAAGGTTATCAATACA